CCATAAACATGATGCCCCCTTCGCAGGATCTGATCGCTCTGATACCAACTTGATACGAGTCGCCGTGCAAGCAGCATTTGGTCGTGGAATTACCAAAAGGTGGGTTGAGAAGAAGACAACTAAAACACAAGAACAATTCAGTATGGTGAAGAAAAATACCTTCTCTAGATTATGAAGAACAAAAGATTACAATCTCTCCCTCACAATCTCACTAAAATCGAGAACAACCTCTCATCCTCTCTAAACCCTAATACAATGATTAGAATTTCTCTATGATCTAAGATCTCTAAGATCCTCACAATCTAAACCCTAATCCTTTTGATTAGGATCTCACTTAGACCTAACACCCTTTAGATCTACATCTTGGCCTCTAACCTCCTTCTTCTGATTGTTTAGAACCCTAAACAATCCCTATTTATAGGGTTTACAACGTGATGACAATCTGGTAAATAATCAAAACCAAACCCAGCTAGGATTCCTTCAAAACAGAAACCAAGTCTGCCCAGGAAACCTCGATGAGTCGACTCATGACTGCATATGAGTCGACTCATGACTGATGAGTCGACCCATAAACTGATGAGTCGACCGAGCAGAAACTTTTGAAAAAACGGCTGGTTTTCGTGAGTTGACTCATGACAGCATGAGTCGACTCAACCTGATGAGTCGACTCATGTACATGTATGAGTCGACTCACAGGCTAAAATCTGGATTCTTCGAATCTGCTGCTCGCCGTCTCGTTCCACGCTTCCACCTGTGCTCCGCCATGTCGCTTCACACTATTATTCTCAAGATATCATGAGAATCACCTATCCTCAAGCTCCCATGAGGATCGCTTTTCTGAAGAGAAGATACACCCGTATCAGTTGTATTTAGCCATCATAATTTTGTTGTATCCAGAGAAAGCATCCATAAAACTAAGCAATTCATGGCTTGCATTTTCATTGACCAACTAATCAATCCTTAGGAGAGATAGCCGTTCTTCGAGCAAGCTTTGTTCAAGCTTGTGAAGTTCACACACATCCTCGACTTGCTAGTAGACTCCTTGACTAGAACCACATTAGACAACCACTCTGGATACTAGACTTCTCGGATGAAGCTAGGTTCAAGTAGTCGGTTGACCTCTTCTACAGTTGCCTGCTGCCTCTCGAGGTTGAGATATATCTTCTTTTGCCGAACCAGCTTGCTATGTCGGTCGACTGATAGCTCATACCTTATCACTTCTAGGGAAATCCTTGACATATCCTAGGCCCCCAAGCAAAAGAATCCATATTACTACACAAGAAAGCAATGATAGCTCCTCAATGCGACTCAACGAGTTCTGATCCAATTTTGACCTTCTTGGTTTTATCGAGGCCGATCAATATCTCTTGTTGTTCTTCTACGTGAGTTGTTCGCTCCCGCTCTTCATCTTTTTGCAGCTGATACTAAGCCTTCTCGATTAGCAAAGTCTCTGAAGCTCCTTTTCTCTTTATCAAAAGTAGATACCATGATATGACCTTTCGCTAATTGATTTGCACTGAACTAACTCCTTTCGGAGTCAGGAACTTCATCATCTAGTAGCAAGCGGATGGAATGACCTATAAGTTGTTCCAAAAGATTCTTTCGAGAATAACATTATAGGCAGACTTCATGTCCATTATAATAAATTAGACTTGAATCATGGACTAGCGAAGGTAATCACCAATTAACAAGGATAGAGTGACCAATCCCTCGTGTTAGACCGAGTGCCTTGAGAATCCAATGAGGGGACTCGAGCAAGGCCATAAATCCAAATTGTTGATCCTCATCTAATTGAATGCCTCCATAAGCAGAATATCAGCTGACCTTCCAATATCTATCAAGATTCTCTTGACCCAAAAGCCATTAATCTCTGTCGATAGGATGATGGGGTTATCTTAAGGGATCTCCATACCTTTTCAGATCAGGTTGTTGAAGGAAATAGGCTGATTGGTCTTGGGCTTCTTCTCACACACATTTACTTCCGACGCTCACTGAGCATACCTCTTCTGAGCATTGTTTCAGCTGCTGGACCACCAATGATGCTATTAATGGTGCCTCAGCTGCCTGTTTCCTTATGTTGATCACCCTGTTATTTCGGGCGATAGGGCAATGTTGACTTGGATATTCTCCTCTCTAGCCTCTTCGAGGCTAGCTCCCCTTTGTCCTGATGGGAGATGAACTTCTTCAGTAGTTCCCTCTTTATCACATCCTTGATGTCTCTTTGGAGAACCCTCTAGTTATCAGTATGATGGCCATGATCCTAGTGATATCGACAGTACTATTTGATATCTCTAGATTGAGGGTTAGACTTCATGAGAGGAGGGGGGGGGGGGGCGGTGGATATTCTCCTCTCTAGCCTCTTCGAGGCTAGCTCCCCTTTGTCCTGATGGGAGATGAACTTCTTCAGTAGTTCCCTCTTTATCACATCCTTGATGTCTCTTTGGAGAACCCTCTAGTTATCAGTATGATGGCCATGATCCTAGTGATATCGACAGTACTATTTGATATCTCTAGATTGAGGGTTAGACTTCATGAGGGGGGGGGGGGGGGGAGCAGTGGTGATGTGCCCCTCCTTCTGAATCAGGTACATCATTCGTGAAAGAGAGGCGATGAGGGGAGTGAATATTTTTTTCTTTGTCGTCTCTTTCTTTTGATCCCTCTTATCGACCTGACTAGGCCTGGCATCATCCTTGGGGAATCATCTTCAATCTTCTTCCCCCGAGAGGATTCCGCTTTATCTACATCTACTTGGGTTGCCTTTCTGTGGGCTCGACTATCTTTAGTGTCCATGTGTGATTGAGCTCTGACCATCAGTTGGTCAAATCAGTCACACTATTCATGATAAGAGAGTGGGACAACTTTTCATCTTCTAGCTCTGCAAAAACTACGATCATGGCGATAATATTGCTAGGATCCTCGACCTCTGGCCTTTTGGCTTGAAGGATTTTGAAATAATCTCTTAGGTTCTTACCGGGTCTTTGTTTTATCTGCAACAAGATGGAGGAATGAATCTTCTGCTTCGTGTTAGCCAAAAAGTGGTACATAAACTTTTGGCAAAGCTGCTCAAACCTATGAATGGACTTCTTATCCAATGAGTTTCACCACATCCTCGCACTGCCCATTAGGATGATTGGGAAGGCTTTACAGATGACTTGGTTTCTTATTTGCTACATGCATATTAAATCCTAATTTTTTTTCTCATGCTTAGCTGGATCTCCTTTGCCCTTGTATTTCTCAATGTGAGACATCTTGAACTTAGGGCACAAAACATTCATGATCTAATCGGCGAGATGAGTATTTCCTCTGATGACATCTACAATAGTGTTGAAGGTCTGGTCGTAACCAAACACAAAGTTGGTGGTGAAAAAATTCATTCTTGTCACTGGGCCTGGAGCGGCAAGGAGGTATCTAGTGCCAAGCGACATCGTCCAAGTGTCATATTTAGGGCCAAGATTCGAACTTTCACTGGCCATGAAGTGCGGTGGTTGCTGTGGATGAGTAGAAAAATGAGCTTGCTGCTGAGATTGTGGGGAGTGATATCTCCAATTCGCTCCTACGACATATGTCGCTGAGACTGATCTCCTTGGGGAGGCCCGGTGGATGGTGGAGGAGGATAAGAAGAAAAGAATTCGACTAAGAAGTTCATTCATGAAAGAAACAAATTATTGCTGAAGAGGACTATTCCCTGGGTGGACTCATCTAATTGGGCCTGAGTAACATAGCCCATGTTGGCTGCCTGTCCGGGATTGAGAACTGACGATCGGTCTGGTCGATCGGAATCAATCATATTTTTTAAAGAAGAAAAAGAAGTCTCACAGTGGGCGCCAAGATGTTTATGTCAGAAACTTAATTATGCAGGTTAGGATGGACTTGGAAGAGCTTAGGGTCCATCAATCTTCTTTTATGGCTGATCACTTTGAGCAGAAAAATAATCCTGCACAAATATGAAATTTTAGAGGGTCAGAGTTGGGCTCTTCGGTGATTCCTCTCGATGGTCAAATTAATGATGATGTTAAGGGGAAAATTTATGTAAAAAAAAAGGTTTTAGGGTTTTCTAGCGTAGAGAATAGTGTACCTTCATGCAAAAGATAACTTGCATATTTATAGAGAACCGACAAGGTTATTTGGATAATTTCGGCCAGGTCAATGCAATCGGCTTAGTCAGCCAACACTTTACATGTGTCAGCAATGGGTGATCTGAGTCATTCTTGCATTTTAATTCGACAGCGATAGAATGACTAAGGTGCTGACGTGATCCAATGAGTCATTATGATTTCGGCGGAGGAGTAATGATGGCTCTAGATATACATTTAATGTGACGGTGATTGGCCGACGTCGCCTAAGAAGAAGAAGTAGATAGGTTTCCTCGTAGTTCAGGATGTGTCGTCGGGTCCGAGTGAAGATGCTTTTCGTTTCGGTCCTTCGAGAGAGCGAGTGAGGACGTTTTTCGTCACAGTTCTCCAAGTGCTTCAAGGAAGGAGAGCCCCGGGTTGGGTCGGTGTATCAAGTTTAAGTCGGCTAATCTAGACGCGTGTCATCGTCTTGAAAGTGGTTTACACTTAGAAATTAGTTTAAGTCGGCTAATCTAGACGCGTGTCATCGTCTTAAAAGTGGTTTACACTTAGCAATTTCTGTGATACAACGGAATCCATTAACATACGAGTATTATGTAGAAATTTTCGAGTGAAAACTTTAATATTTGCCTAATAGCATAAAAGAGGATCTTAAAATATCAATTTTAAACAATTTATGCGTGTTGGTGCTGCAAAACGATAGGATATTTAAGTGCTATCTAGACTTCACATTTTAACACAAGTGCCATGTCAGAAAAAACAAAAGTGGAGCACGAGTTCCCTTATATAATAATACTAAGGAGAGGAGACAAGATTAGAGCTGAAGTCTGAGCTCAACTCTCCCGTTGTCTCGACGACGATGAATCCATCGAGTGTCAAAAACCAAAGCGCCGCCGGCGGCGCACG